CTAATTAGGATTTTCAGTTGTTGTTCTTTCCATATTCCCATTTTTAGTTTCAAGTCTAATTAGGATTTTCAGTTGTTGTTCATTCCATATTCCTATTTTCCTTTTAGGTTTGGTATTTCAATAAGATCGATTGTTCTAATCATCCAAGATATAGAGGCTTTGGTGTTTATCTGCTATATCCAGAAGTTGTTCTCTTTGCGAGTTTTGACTCTGGCTTTCTGTTTTTGCCTAGTTGATTTTCAGTAAAGTGATTTGGTGTTTGAAGTGCGTTCTTAACTCTGACCCATGGCAACTTATATTACATTTTCTAAGATATCTCTATACTTTATATAATGCATTCACTTTTTTTTTTTGTCATAATGGTGAAGTAGAATGAGCGTATTCTGTGCTTGAGAAAGTTGATTACCCTCAATTTTATTGATTGGAGCTTCTTCTAAAATTTGGATTCCTGATGATGTTAGTAGTAGTAGATGCTTGAAATTTGGTTCTCATTTTTTTTTTAATTTTACCATTTGCAGATGGATTACATAAACACCTCACACCCAAATTTTATTGGGGGAACCAAAGCCGTTGAGGTTGCAATGCAACAAGTCAAGTCTTCTAGGATTCCGCATCCTGTTGCACGGCCAAAGGTGAAAAATAATCTCAGAGATGCATTGATAATGCTTTCGTGTTTCGCTTTTTGACTTGTGCAATTTTTTTGTACATATCCCTTTTGACTAAACAGGATGCAGTGGAGCCTGAGAAGACATCTTCTTCTGCAAGTCATATAAAATTTCGATCTTTTCTCGGCCGACAAGCTAATGGAATTGTCAGTGATCAGGCATGTCACTTTTTATGTTATATATTTAACACTGTTACATTGGCCTCCCTTGCTGTTTGATACTATATTGTTAGTTTGGCTCCTGCCTCTGAAAACACATGAAGAGAGTACAAAATTCCAGCTAAAGACTCGTTATGTAAAACTTATCACCATAATATTTTTCACAGGGAGTTCTATCTGCAGTAGATGCTGAAAAACCCGCAACAGCTGGTAATCTTCTTGTTACATTGATTTTTTAGCTTTTCATTTATGCACAGATAAATGAAGACGTGGTCCTAAGACGAATTTTTGCTGAATGATAAATCTCATAGTCTAAGAATATGACTTACATACAAGCATACATGTCTGGTCTTTATTTGTTGAAGAACTCAATGTTTCTGTATAGAATTTGAATGTAGTGTTTTTTGACAATTGAAAAATTATTAGGAAACACAAACTGGAGTGGTTTCTCATCAATTTTCCGGGGGAGTGATGGTCAGGCATCTACCAAAAAAAACTTATTAAGCAAACCATTTAACGAAGCTGCTCAAGATGATGTGTATCAGAACTTGTCAACAATCTTTTTGAAAGAGGTTTACATCTTGTGCCTTCTCAGGCTCCACGTATTGCCAATACAATCACTTTACTTACATATTCATCTCGTAATGTTTGGTTTTTGAAGCCTCCAACTATCTTGAGGTCATCAGAAAATCATTCAGAACAGGAAGCAGTTGAGATTCAGATAACAAAACTATTATTGAAATCCTACTATGACATTGTAAGGAAGAATATCGAGGACTTGGTCCCAAAAGCAATCATGCATTTTCTGGTTAGTGTCTCCTTCTGACTTCTAAAAGTATAAAATTTCAAATTGTGGTATTACTTGAAATGTCTGAAGTTTTTAAAAAGTTGGGACTGATAACAACAGTTCTATGGGATTGAAAATAAACACAGGTAAATTACTCGAAACGTGAGCTGCACAATGTCTTCATCGAGAAGCTTTACAGGTGATGAAAGAAACCATCTGTTTTTTTGCCTGATGTTGAGAATAGTCTCTTTTTTTTTCTTGTTCTTTTGGAACTAAACTGGTGGGATGGGACAGGGAGAACATGATTGAAGAATTGTTGAAAGAGCCGGATGAGATAGCAACAAAAAGGAAACGTACACGGGAGACTCTGCACATTCTACAGCAGGCTAATAGGGTAAAAGCTCTTAAGATTGGTCTTGAATATGTTGCAATTTTTTGAAATTTATTTGAAATGTGGTTTTCACCATTTACTTGATAATTAAACAGACATTAGACGAGCTGCCGTTGGAAGCTGAAACGGTTGAGAGAGGATACAGAATTGGCTCTGAACAGAAACAGAAACACGAGGAGCTACCGAGTACAAGAAGATCAAGGTTAGATTATAATGGGTACGGACGGCCTCAGATGTAAATTCAAATTCCTGATTACACATTCATTTTGCTGATGGAAAGATTTGTTATCCTCCCCTTAAATCTATGGTTGGGGCCTGGGGGAAAACATATTTTAGGGTATAGCTAAACACTATGATTAACAAAGGTTTTGATGTGAATTATATTGGTTTCTTACTCTGTTCCTCGAATTATAACGAGGCCTATTCTGACAAGAATAATCAAATCCTAACTTTGGCCTTCAATTTTCTATGTGGAAAATTACACACATATGACTTACCTTAGGCATATTCAGGAAATATATTCATGTACAAGAAGAAATGGTGCTTGCAAGCTTTGTGGAAATAATCTACCGCTATTTATTGACATACATGTTCGTCGCATTATAACAAGGATTGTCTCACAATAACTTACCCGAAGATTCATGATCACATTAACTTTCATTCATAGAAATAATGCGTTTACTTGTGATGCTTGTGGGTAAGTCGATACAGAAAGAAAATATGTTCGGATGTTTACAAATGCGATTTCTTTGTCCACAGAAAATGCATTTTCTTACCAAAGGTTATAAAAATCACGCGTCACTCACATTATCTTTCACACTCTTTGTATCCCTGGCGGAAACTTGCTATGTAGAATTTGTCGGAAAGGGTACATAAAACTCAAAATTGGTTATGAAAAAGCATGTGATTATGTTGCTCATACGTATTGTGCAACGACGAACAAAGTCTGGGATGGCATAGATGTCGAAGGAGAACCTGAAGAAGAGAGTAACTCTAACTTTGATCTTGTGGCGCTGGTGGAGATAGATGGTAGATCCGTACGTCATTTTAGCCATGACCATGGTCTAATGTGGACCACGAAGAAGAAACTTGACAGGTATGTCAAGCCTGCATCCTTCCAATTGAATTTGGTACTTTATTGGGTCGCAAGTAATATAGAAGCAAAGAAACAAAGAAGCAGCT